ACCCCTTACCATCCCCTTTGGATTAATAATGTGTATTATGTAAAACTTATCATGCAAATGAAATGTTAAAATTATCTACTTAAGATAATTCACGAATAACGGTGATTGGCCAATCAGAATTCGGTTCTGTAACAAGCTGCGTTATTTTTCGCGCAAAATGGTTCAAGCGTAACTTTTGAAAAGGTATGATTTTTCCTTCATTAGAATTTAAAAACTTTCCCCTGACAATGTTATTGTGCTGTATGTGTAACTGTGAGGGATTGAGAGATGATAGGAGAGCTGACATTATCGAGTCATCGACCTTGCAAAAACCAAACAAAAACACGTCTTGAGAGTCCAAAAGCATTCACTGCGCGATGAAGCCTATTAGAATACAGGTAAAATAACCTTATAATTCAAGCAATTAAAGAAAAAAATATCCATGTATGAGTTTTATGTTTTTATATTCATTGCACAAGTAATATACTTTTCTGAATATCAGGCCTACATGCGCGAGCACAAATGTGCTATTAATTTTATACAATAGTGCATAGTAACCAGGGCCGTGCAGAGACCTTTGGAGGGGCAGGTGCTCAAAGTGTTGTGTACTATATGCTGCATGTATGTATAAATACATTGTAGGTGATTTGAGCTCTTTCAATAAAACAACCACATAGTTAAATACATTTATTTCATTAAGACATTCAGTTTACTTACACATTTATAACAGATATAATAATAATTTAAAAGTTAAAAATCATCTTAATCTATACTTAATCTACTTGCCAACATAAACTACACATGTAAAAGGATCACGGTTTTAGTGTTTTTATGGAATAATGCACATTTTTAATCATGTTTATTGTGGATTTTGCACCTTTGAGACACTCCCTATACTTGACGTGCGCAAGCGGAGATCGTTGTGAGGACTTTTTCCACTTCAGAGGTTTAAAACAAACATCTACGAATAATATTATTATTAATTTTGATATTATGTTTTTAAATGTGATCTGAACGAGATACAGCATG